TCTTTGGAAGTAACAGTGTCTATCGAGCTGCTCGGAGTTTCTGTACCGACTGTCCCACTAGCCCAGTAAAAGTTGTTTTGGGGGAAGCTGGACGACACAGAACAATATAATACCATAGAAAAACTGCAGAAAAAAATGGTTCCTCAGCGGCTGTCCATAACTTATTTCTGCGCACCGCCTTTCACATGGCGGACACGTAAAACGTACGCCAGAAGCTAGTGGTTGACCATATTTTGTGAACTTTTTCTTCTTAACCCGTCCTATTTTGTTATTGATAGAATCTTGGGGTTATTATTCATTAGAGGCAAAGCAGTAAAGGACTACACCCTTAGACTAAAGACGTCGCCAAAACACAGATGTGACTTCTTTACCGAATCACAGGTTCTAAAGAGACATCACCCTGCTGGTATCCGACTACGTTAGATTTCACTTATACTTTTGAGTCTAGTGCGAAAGGCCAAGACTCCACGGTATACTCTTCTGACGAGCATTGTACTGAGCCATACAATTCTTCTGGGGGCTATTACCAGGTAATTTTACCAGATTCATTTTGACCAACTTATCGCAGACAGCTTTGTAGCAGAAAAAATTGATCACAAGCCACTTCATTGTTTGACACACCTATTTCGGATCGTCTCCAGATATTTTATTGCTCAGCAAGAGAATACTTTGCCAATAGTCAAAATGCTACCAGCGTCATTACGAGATATCCCTCATTAGGAGCTAAGCTGGTTTGGACAGGACAAAGCAGTGCAGATGGTTCTAGGTGGTGAGCAGTTCAGCCAACTGATAAAATGTCGCTCATTTGCAAATAACATATGCTGATTCAATAAGGTAGATCCTTGGTGGCACTACTGTCATGTGTACTTGTGTGCGTTTTATAAGCCTCTTTGTCCAAGCGTTATTGACTCGTCTAGATTTAAGTTGCCAAGTAACGCGAAAGCAGAGCACAGATTGTCTCATTGTATAACTATTAGTGACTCACTCGGGTTCAACCAGGAACAACGAGTTGTGTTCATCCTTGACCAGTAAAACAACCACAGCTTGTGCTATTTCTTGCCGCAGACTGATCCGCCATACACTTTCTGTGGGTGGTGTAGTCAGACAGCTGTTTGTTATACGATAAGTCGGTCCGGTGACAAAGTGATAGTTGATTAGTGCGATGCCTAGACAGCCATTCGACATGCAACATGGAGACCTGCTTCTTAGAATCATTTAATAAACCTATCAAAGGTTTCGCCGAACCCTTTACCTATCGTGCCTACTTTGGTCACAAACCCAACATGACAATCACCTGAATGTTATGTGACCACGAAAATTGTTTTCATACCAGTTTTTCTAACCATCATAGATCACTCCTTTGAGTAATAAGCCACTGAATCCGTACTGAGGATGAATAAATATATATAGATACATTTAGCAATATATTTAGCTATCTGCAAATTCACTTCTGTGCTTACGAGCTAACGTAGCAATTTTTGAGTGAAATGGCGTGCAAGGGGTTGGTACTTTGTGGATCACTTTAAGTTCTCGCATGAAAAATCTCAAGGTAGAAAGTAGTTTTGATTTATTGAGTTGGACCCTCGATACAAATGAGTGGAATTTAGGTTCAAGACTAAACAGTATCTTAGTGCCAAAATTTAATTTTTTCCCATTCTCTGCAGGGTTTTGTCATGAACGTTTCAATGTTTTACCTGCAAACCTAGAATTCCTGTCTCGTCTAGTCTGAAAACCAAAACAGGAAGTGAATAGAGGCTGGGGCTTTCTAGTTGAAAACAATGAAACTAATGCTCCAAAGCCGTCCAGGAACTTTTTTTATCCTTGCGATAATAAGTGTTTCGGAAAGGATGAACTGTGAGTTTGGGGTAAAAAAACCACCGTTAATTTATTGTTATATTGCGTAAGTAAAACAATTTTCGGTAATGAAGACGGCGTGTTGTTTCCATGTAGTGTAAGCAGTGACGGGTATCTCAGTAGTCGGTGCTATGCTCATTGTAATCTCTACCGCATGTTATTCAAATCGCAGACAAAACTTGATGAGCAATGTTCACTAATGATTTGAAAATTTGGTCCGTTATTCTCAGTAAAGCTGGTCATAATGTGACGCAGTTCGAAATTTGAAGAAAAATTCCTAAAAGATGGCATCATTTTATCCCACACACTCAAAAAGTTTAGTGAACTTTTTTATTCATCTTGGCTTGTTATAATTTTGGTACTTGTTTACTCTCCCTACCCATATGCATATAGTTGCTTCTAGTTGGTATCCCAGCTTCTCAGAACCAGCTTGCGTGACTATCCATGTTACCTGCCCAAATTTCTATGCAACAAATGATTTTCATGGTAAATGTGATTTTAGAAAGTGTTCCTACATTTCATTTGATCATATCAGATCAGAAACTGGAAAACGTCATGCTCCAGGAAGAAAAATAGATCAACTGCTATAAAGGTGAAAATGGCTTCAGAGTAGGAGGTTTTCTCCACACAAATATAGTAAGTTTGTGTATGATATATTTTCAGATATGTTAGTTCTACTATTTTCAGTAACTCCAACACTAACAGTAGCTCTAATAGAAGAATATCCCCAATGAGAAGTGAGCTTTCCCAGCTGTTGAATTTGGAATCTGTGGCAAAATCTTCACTTTTCTCGAAATCGTTGTCTTTTCAGCATCCCCAAGGGGCTGTACAAACTTTTCTGTTATGAGTACTTAGAGAATAGGTCTTTATTATATGAACGTTTTTGAAACCATCTGTGGATTTTTGACAGGAATTCTATCGCAATTTGCGGCGGATGCAGCGAGGAGCTGCCTGGGTCTGTAGTCATTCATAATTTTTTCCTGCTCACTTTTTTCGTTGGCTGAATAGGTTTTCCAGTTCCCACAAAACAATGACTTGATTTGGTCTTTGATATAAAATGAGATTAGAAATTACTTTTCCGTGCCTGCTTAGGAATTACACATGTAATCCTTAATCCATTTCAAAACACGCATTTTTTATGAATTATGAGAAAAATGCTAGCAAAAATTAATGTTGCGCCCCAGTTTTAAACGTCCACGAAAAAGTCATTAACAGGAAGTCCATTTGCTTGTCTTAAGGGAAGTGGTTTGTCAACAAAGTGGTAAGCTGCGGCTTTATGTCGCACTGATTAACACTGCGGCGTCTGATTTAAAGACAAGACACCGTCTTGAAATACAGCTTGCACAATGGAAGTAGATAAGATATGCAAGGTTTTCCGAAGCCAAATCTTTAGCAAATAAACTCATGAAAACTCAAACGTTAAGCTTTTGGATCACTGAAGTCAATTTTACCCGCAATGCTTCCCAGTAAACACAGTGCCACCGGTGGCTAACGGTGGTCAAATTTGGCTAGCTTTGCCACTGATTTTGTTGCTGAATACAAGCCAAACGCAACATGTGTTGCACAAAAACCTTCTGAAAACAAATGTAACAGGATAATCTGGATACTGGAGCTCTATTTACGAAGTAATTTTTGAAACCGATTAACTATATCACGAAATTTTTGGGTTGCCACCTTTGGCCGCTTTTAGCTACCGGTGGAGCCATCGGTGGCAAGCGTAACATGCCACCTCAATTTGCCTCCTGTTGCCACCGGTGGTGCAGCGGTGACGTGTTTATTGGTTTGTTATATTCATGCACCTCCTGACAAAAGCAGCGAATTGTCAGACTAACGCAACACAACTCTAGGAATTGGATACCAGAGCCAAATGTAAGGACAAATTTACAAATTTACAACAATAATTTACACCACACTAGACTTAATAAAGCCCGCCCGCGTAAGTCAGTCATAAATGTCACGACTGCTACGGTATCTACTACAAAGCAAATGGAGGCTGATACAGCAATGTACACATTTGAGGCCATGAAAGCTGCTGTTTTAGCTTCATATTGCACTAAATGGTGTGCCAAAAGCGATGCTGTTTCATGCATCTCCATTACAAATTTCCTGATCCTCAAGACCTTACACTGTCACGCACCAAACTGCCCAAATTTGCCTTGACATTGCTTCAGAATACGACCGAATTCTGGGTTGCCTTGTAATGTACCAAATAAAAACAGGTAAAGATTAGGCAACGATTTAAGGAATTTCCCCGAAAACCACAAATACAGTTTTTGTGGTTTTTACCAACGCAAAACTTGCAGGCAAGCATCATAGGTGACAACAGTGAGCGAGATCACTGATAGGATTGACCTAGACCCCTCCAAAGAGCAACATGACTGGTTGAAGATTCGAATCGAAGTGGATTAACTTGTTTAGATGTGAAATAATGTTCTTTGCACTCTCAAAGGCTGCATTTTCAGCTAAAGAAGCACATTTTGCAAATAAACAAGTCCACGTATGGACGCCAGAAAGTGTGCATACTTTCACATCCGTAGAAAGATCCGCACAGGAATATTCTAGTTTAATTAGACGTTTTTTAAAATAAAAAATAGTAAGAGGCACTATAAAACTGTGATAATTAGTAACTTCAACAATACAATCTACTCGAATTCAGTTTGCCCACAGGCCAGTTGTACTTCTACGTGCATTCAAATGTTCTTCCTCAATAGTGCGTCAGCGGCTTTCAAAATCCTCCATATCATATACGTGCATTCATGTGCAGAACGCTGGGGATGTGCGGAATATAGTTGTGTATAACAAGAGTTACGCTTCACAGAACAGTGCAAATGCTGCTAGAATCTTGTGTATTGGTTACAGAATATAGAGCACGGAAATAGAATACGGTTTATGAAGGCACCTTCTTGATAGTACCACCTACCTAGAGTTTACCTGATTATCCCTCAGCAAATAGTACAAAGGATGTACCACTGCCAAAATGTTAAAAAATGGTAAAAATTTCCTTGCTTCAGAATCATAGTATAGGTGTACGCCCTCCAACTTTTAGGTTGTCACTTATCCGAAACTCGCTGTAATGACCGACTTCACCAGAATAATTCGCCAACAAGTGTAAACTCATCATGTATATCATAGAGCTCCACGCTTACCAAGTTTTCGCTGTTCATTACTACTTCGGTTTTCATCTAGCAGCTATCATGCGCGAAAGGTTGTCATGCTTTAATTAGTCGCAGTGGCAAAAGTACACCTAGTTGGTTCAATTTAAGAAAAGTTGCACTGCCAGTTCGTTGGTTGGGAGTTTGATGCAACCGATCGCTGCACTGGAACCAATTTCCTTGAATTGAAGGCAACGTACTCTCCACTTCCGTGAGTTGGATACATGATTCGGCACGTGTCGCCACACTGACAGTGGTCTTGCCTGTTTACATTCTCCACATTCATTATCGGATTCATTGGCTCACGGATTCACGGATTGATATAAGGGCTCGGTGCTTTTGCCCAAGTTTTATGGACTAGTTTTGTCCTTGTCGTTCAGCGGCTGCCGTTCACCTGAAGGGCACAAGGAAGCAGCAGAGACAGTGCTGAAATGCTTGTCCACAAACTGCCTCAGCCTTTTCAGGAAGCTCGGCGATGTTAAACAGTCAGCTTGCCTTGAACAACCGTCCATAATCGCACTCACGGAGACCTGGCTCACGCCAGACGTCTGTGACGTGGAGATCTCGATAGAAGGTTACTCTATTTTTCGAGCTGACTCAAAACGAGAGAGGGCTGGTGGGGTTACCCTGTGTTTACACCACCCCTGCACTATTTTGCGATGCACTCTGGGTCCAAATCCCGCTGCGCGGGTCCGATTACCTCCTTTTCGGTGTGATCTACCGAAGTCCCTCAAGTCCCCCTGAAGATGACCAATTACCCGTACAAACCCTCCAGCAACTCTCCTCCAACTATCGCTCAACTCATCTCCTGATGGTAGGTGAATTCAACGCCCCAAAGGCCTCTTGGATGGAGCTCCAGCGCGCCGAATCAGGCGGACTTTTTGCGGCGGCGCTGATTGAAGTCGTTCAACAGAGCGCTTGGACTCAACATGTCGTCGCACCCATCAGACACCGCGCAGGACAACTACCATCCCTCCTGGATTTGGTCATCACCAACGAAAGACACTTCGTTGATCAGGTAACAATTAACGCTCCACTGGGACAACTGAGTGCTGACCTTTGCTACTGGGCCGTAAATCCCAAACCTCAAACGTGGTTTCGAGACTTCTGCCGTGCAGCCTTCTCAGGAATGCGCATTTTCCATTAACATGTCAAATTGGGACCAGCTCCGGTGGAAGAATTAGATAGGACCATCGTCCAGAAGGTTCACGAGGCTGACGCGACGTTCGTCCCAAAAAACCAGCACGCACTCGGATGAACCGCAGGATGCCAAAGAAGATTCGGCGACTTCTGGAAAAAGGGTCCCAACACTTTATCAAAACGTTGACTACAGTGGATGCAGAAGATGAGCTGGCATATCGTACAATGCGGAACCGCTGTAAATCGGAAATCCGCCATAGAACATACGAAAACAATCCACCATCTTGGACCTCGCTCGAAAAAAACAAAAACATGCTGTTCAAGTACATGAGACATCGCCGCAGAAACAAACCATCCGCGTTCTACTTGAGGGACAGAAACGGAGAAACGACAAATGATCCAACAGTGGTATCTGAGGTTTTCGGAAAACAATATGCGTGTCCCCAGCGTCCTCGTCACATCCACTCTTATCAAGGAGAAACTATGAACAGCCTCTAACCGACTTGGTCTTCACGGTGGAGCATGTTCGTCAACTGTTGCATAAGATCAACCCATTCTGCGCGCTCGGGCCCGACGAGGTCGATTCCAAGGATCCTGAAGGAAACGTCCTCCACACTGGCAAACGATTTACACTTGGTGTTTCGTCGGTCGCTTGACGAAGGCCGCCTTCCCTCTGCTTGGAAGGAAGCGATTGTCACGCCAATATACAAAACTGGTGACCGACTATCGCCTGGCAGTTATAGGCCTATAAGCCTCACTAGCGTGCCGTGCAAGGTGATGGAACGCATTCTGAAGCGAGCCATCC